CATTCCCAAGCTGGATATTCTATGCAGAAGGAGGTGGGCCATGTTCTTGCAAGACCTACGCTGCAGAGAGTGCACTTCTCCTATGGAGGTGTTTGCAAGATAGTCAGGGGCCACAAAGGTAACAGCCCACAAGTTCTAGCCAAAGAGTAATATTTGACTTACGTAACTTCCCCTCGGACTTGACTTCAAGAGGCATGTGCACTACAGGAAAGCCCATTATGCATAAGCTCAGAGGAGGGACAATTAGAAGAAGCTACTGGGCCAGGGGCCAGGAGATGGGCTAACTCCCTGGCACAGCTGGCCTGGGGCTTCGGAGTCTGGAAGGATGCAGGTGCAGGCAGTGGAGCGTTCAGGAGCTGCATTCCCAGCGGGGCTCCTCCGGAGTCGGGGAGCCAGACACAGCTCTGCAGCATCTCTGCTGTGAGCCCCTCCACGGCAGAATCTGCGTCTCCATGAACCCTGCGTCTCCATGAACCCGACCTCTGCCCCCGCCCCTCAAGCTGGGCTAACACAGCCCAGTGCTGGTTCACGGTGTCCAAAATAAAGCAGAGTGAATCACGCCCATGTTCCTTTTTATGGAGCTGCGCCTGACATTCGTAAAGAGCCCATAGTGCGGCCGGGCATGGCGGCTCACACTTGTAATCCCAGCATTTTGGGAGGCTGAGGTGGGTGGATCACCTGAGGTAAGGAGTTCGAGACCAGGCTGGACAACACGGTGAAACCCTATCTCTGCTAAAAATATGAAAACTAGCCACTTGAGAGGCTGAGGCAGGAGAATCACTTGAACTCGGGAGGCAGAGGTTGCAGTCAGCTGAGATCATGCCATTGCATTCCAGCCTGGGTGACAAGAGCAAAACTGTGTCTCAAAAACAACAACAACAACAACAACAACAAAAAACCACAGTGAGTCACCAAAGCCTGCAGATTGGATCCCAGGCAGCCCTTTGTCTGCCCCAAGGCTGCCTCCAACCTCTGGCTGAGATGAGTCTTAGCTCCACTGAAAACCTTTCAGCTTTCTTTTCCCCCAGTCCCCTTCAGGAAGCCCGTTGGATTCTTCATAGCAGGACACTGACTCACCACTTACGTTTCAGCTCTTTCAGGTCACTGAGCTTGAGCAGTCCCCTAGGCAACCTCTGACCTGACACACCACCAGTCAGGCTGAGTTCCAGCAGTAGCACTGAACTGACCCCCCAGAGCACACTGGTTTGGAGATCTAAAAAGTACAATGGGCCACCAGTCACTGATCAGTGCAGCATCCCTGGAAGCCAGGTGTGGGGGTCGGTTTCCTGGGTCAACTTGGCCAGGCTGTAGCACCCAGTGACTTCATCAAACGCTAACTGAGGTGGTACTGGGAAAGCATTTTGCGCAGGTAACTCAGTCAGTTGAACTTGACTAAAGGAGATTATGTTGGATGATGTGAGTGGGCCTCATCCAATCAGTTGAAGGCCTTAAGAACAAAGCCTGTGGTTTCCAGAGAAGAAGAAATTCTGCCTCAAGACCGTAACACAGAAATCCTGCCTAGTTTCCAGCCTGCCAGCCTCCCCTGCAGATCTCAGACCTGCCCACTCCCACAACTGCATTAGTCAATTCCTTCCAATAAATGTCTTAAAATATTAAAATATCCTATAGGTTCTATTTCTCTAGAGAATCCCCACTGATACACCAGGCCAGCACCCAGACACAATGCCAGGAGACACACTGAGCTCTGGGGGAGACGGGCATGAGCTCTGTATCTTTCTCTTCTACAAAGGGGATTAGTGTCAGCCACTCCTCTCCCTCCCCCGGAATATCCTTGGGGGTGGGGGACGATGACACTTGGTGACTGGTTAACATCTGTACACCGCTAGATGCCTCAAAGCTGAGGCGGCCTCTGCAGTCACTGTTCCTCCCCTGCCTATTTCAACCCAGCTGCCCTTTTCCTCAAAGGAGGCACGTAGGCCTGCACTGAAGGCAGATGGGGTCCACCTTGTTCTCTTCATGAACAGCACCCGCCAAACCCACATCGCTGCGAATCCACCAGAGGACCCGGAGGATGAAGAGGATGACATGATGATCTTCACTCAGTATTCACCCACCAAAACACATCACCGATGCTTCAAGAGCTGGAACAGCATTGAAAGTTTACGACGGGAGCAATGAGAATTCTGTGAGCCCTGAGACAGGAAGCTCTTAAAGTTCCCATTGTTTCCTTGAAAGAAAATGTCCAGGCCGGGCGCGGTGGCTCACACCTGTACTCCCAGCAATCTGAGAGGCCGAGGTAGGTGGATCGAGTTTGAGACCAGCCTGGCCAACATGGTGAAACCCTGTCTGTACCAAAAATACAAAATTCAGCCAGGCATGGTGGTGCATGCCTGTAATCACAGCTACTCAGGAAGCTGAGGCAGGGGAGTCGCTTGAACCCGGTGGGTGGAGGTTGCAGTGAGCCAAGATCGTGCCACTTCCCTCCAACCTGGGTAAAAAAGAGCAAAACTCCATCTAAAAGAAAAAGAAAAAAAAAGAAAATGTCCAGTTCCCCTGAAAAAGATTTCCCAGAAAGAGACCCTCAGTGCAGCACCAGCCTTTCACTTGCCTGACAGAATAACCGCCCAGGAGCTTTCCCCAGTCTGCTGCGCTGAGGGCCCTGGGGGAAATGCCTGGTGTCTTTCTTACGGGCTGAAGCCCCTTGCCTGTGGCTCAGGGTTGCCCCAAACTCCCAGCCTGCACCCTGGGGTCACAACATAGGCTGGAAAAGCAGCCCCATGCCTGGCCAGGAGGGAGAGGAGACAGCAGCTACCAAGCGGAATCACAGGCCCACGCTAAGGAAAACAGTGTTTGCACTTCTCCCACAAACAGAACGCTTATTTTATTTTAAATTCGGGAATAACACAGTGAGAACAGCAGAAACTTTCATTTCTGGAGCACTGTTCTCGCCTCCTCACTCAGTCTCCCTTTGGAGGCTTGCTGAATCCAGACTGGCCCCAGGCCAGACTCTCAAACAAGGGCCAGGACATGGCTCACTCTGCCTGTTGTCCATCGGAAATCATCTCAGTGCCCCTTTGTCTGAGGTGTTTCCTTCCTCTCTCTCCCCTTTCCAACATCCCCCACCTCCCTGCAGGTGAATTGCCCATAGGTAGAAATTAGCCTCTGCAGAAGAAAAGCTTTAGAAATATGTCCCAGTCCTAGTGTCTCTGCCGTGATCACGCTGGCGTATATGGGATCATATAACTCCACCCAAAATAGAATTCATTCAGTGCTCCCAGGTTACGTTCCACCAACTGATCTCCTGCATAAACACTGCTGCATTCTTTAGAACATGATTACCCTGCATTCTTCTGTGTTTCAGAAATATATACAGTTAATGATCAGCAGAAACACTGTATCAAATGCATAGGATTTGTGGGTAAAAAATATTTAGATGTAATCATTAACTTCTCACAACTTTGGTGCCCTGGACCCATCGCTGCATTTTCTACCCATGTCCTTCCATAACTCCTGGAAGGAATCTCTTGATGAGATCAAGATGGGCCTGCCTTGAGCTCCACTTAAAGGACCAGTGTGGTGGCAATATTTAGCATCAGAGCCAGTGCCCTTTCAGGAAGCTAGATGCACAGACGTGAACTGACTTCTTGGAGTGGAGGAGCGCTCTGGCATCTCCCATCTCCCCATCTGGCACGTCCAGCCTTGCTGTTGACATTCCCTCTAGGACACTGTGACTTGGCACCTTCATTAACACCACACTAGGAATTGACGCAACCGTTTCCAGACTTATAAACTATGACACTTATAATAAACCTTTTTAGCGTTCAAACATGTATGTAACAAAAAGGCCCCATTACAGCTTCAACCGAGTGGAAAATGCTCAGGGTGTGGAGTCAAACGCTCCTGGTTTAAATCCAAATTCTGATTCCATTTAAGTGGTGATTTGGGGTCAGATTGGAAATGCCTGGTCACAGGTTTCTTCATCCATCAAATAGGGTCGAGTGTGCTTCATCAGGGGCTGCTTGGAGGACTGAGGGGCTATTGGATATAAAAGAGCTTTGTACACAGTAAAGTGTCTGAAAATGTGAGCTGTTCTTATGACTGGATGGTAGATTATGCAACATTTAAAAGAAATAATCTGTTCTTGATCCTAAGATTTGATATTCTTTTTCCTGAATACATATGGGGTATTAGATAATAATTAAAATTAATTTTACTTTTCAAAACTACACATAATTCAATGCTTTTTGAGGGCCAGGGACAGTTCTGCATTTGGTAATACATTTTACATGACAGTCGCATGTTCATGACAAACTCAGGGAAGCTAATAATTACGGGAGACACCGGAGCGGGCTTTATGTGTAAGCTAAGAGGAGAAAATAAAACAGCAGGCATTAAGAGAAAGGACCGCAGGGATCGGAGGTGGGGTGAGGGTGGAGGGCAGATAATGGAGATCCACTAGCAAATTCAAATGGCTTGGACATACGCTGCACCGCCTGGCCACTAGCTGACACTCTCCCTTTGTGAAAACATAAGACAGCATTATTTTACGGGCAATCAAACCTCAGATGAATTCCACCATATGTGGGCAAGGCTCCCCTCCCACAGAGTCCTTGTGCCTGGGAAATAGAATTGAACATATCTTCAAAGAGAGTTCTTGGTAAATATACTACTGATTTTACAAACTCCATCCTCTACACAAACCACTGGAGAACACATTTTCCCAGCGCTGCCCAACATCACCGTTCAATGGCCTTTCTTTCTTCCTTCTTTTTTTTTCCTTTTTTTTTTTTTTTGTGAGCCAGAGTCTTGCTCTGTCACCCAGGCTAGAATGTAGCGGCATGATCCCGGCTCACTGCAACCTCTGCCTCTTGGATTCAAGCGATCCTCCTGCCTCAGGCTCCCGAGTAGCTGAGACTACAGACACAGTGGCCTTGTTTTCTAAGTCAATCTTTGGAGAAGCATGACTCACTTCCACTTTGTCTTTCTAAAGGATAGGAAAATGGGAGGTCGGGGAGAGAAAGGGGCGGAAGTCTCCTTACCTTGAGCCATTCACCTGGCTAGGGTTACATTCCATTTTGATGGTGACCCTGGCTGGGGGTTGAGACAGCCAGTCCTGCTGAGGGACGCGTGGGCTCATCTTGGAAGTCTGTCCATAGTCGCTGGAGGAGGACGCGGTCATCTCCGTCTTAGCCAGGTGTGGCGTTCCGTAGGCACACTCAAACAACGACTGGTCCTCACTCACAACTGATAAGGCTTCCTGAATGCCCAAAGAAACACATAATTCAAGACACTCCAACAGACAGTCATGTTTCAAAAAGTTGTTGATTTCAGAGTCCTTTCTAACTGGGACCACATTTTAGATAGTTTTTACCGTCTCCATTTCTACCATTCAGAAGAAAAAAGTAGCTTGTTTTTCTTTCCTCCAGACAGTAAGAGTTAGAAATGCCAGCCTAGAAAAACTTATGCAGGTCTCGAAGCATCCCAGGCTTGACTGCGGCAGGGCAGCAGAATATCCACTTTAATCTCAACTTAAGGAAGTTGAATTTCAAAGGTCTTAGAAGACACCCAATTGCATGTGTCATTATTTGACAAATGCAATCTGTAATTCAAGCAGACAGGGTACAGAGCGGTCATGAAGATTAAAAAAAGAAATCTGAAGGCCAACACCTAAGCATCTGGCAAAATTGCCACATTCCCGGGGATTCTGAGGAAGAGGGACTTAGGGGAAGACAGAGGGATCAATGGAGCACCAAAGGGCAACCAACCAAAGATACAAACGTTTCCACTCTAAGTTATTAGCCGAAGTAGAGTTTCAAGTGGTGATTCCATGATGGTGAACATCTGGATGATAAATGAACAAAAAAAAAAAAAAAAAAAAAAAGCTGTGAAGTATCCAGATGCTTCCAAACACCACGATGTTTAAAATATCTGGATCACTCACAAGCTCTTTTTTCCCCTTACCTTCGATTAATATCTTTGCTCTTTTGCATGATTTGGTGAGAATAAATAGCCATTTGTCGTTGCTGGGTCCATCATTTTTCACGGTTTTAAGTCAAACAAGTGGTTAGCCAATGGCTATGTTTATATTCTACAGCCAATGAGCAACGGCAAGTTTGGGAAATTTCAACTACTTAAATGTGCCTTCTGCTGCAATCACACAGAGCTGCTGTGATACAATCCCACTTTGGTTCTTAGACAAAAAAAAATCCGTATGAATGCTCATTTTTATATTAATCCTTTGGCATCCTCAGTGTTGACATCAACTAGTGAGAAGCAAAGGCTAGTTGGGCCACACATTTTTATTTCAAAAAAAAAAAGAAAAAAATAACTTTGGGGCCAGAGCAGGGGAAGCAGGGGAGTGTGGGCTTTGTAGACCCTTCCAGTCCAAACTTCTCATCTCCAAATGAGAACTCTGAGACCTAGAAAGGTCCAGAGCTAATCTTGAATGAGCTGGCCATGATCAACTAGGAGGTTAGTGACGGGAATGACGTGTGAATTACCACCTGCCTTCTCCTTGCCCCCACAGCCCTATGATGCCCTTTGTGACCTTTTTTTTTCATTTCGGACATGTGTTTAAATTAGCACCCTCCTCCCCTTCTTTGAATTGGCCTTTAAATAAATAAGGTGCTTCCCATCAGTGATCTCATCCTAGAAGCAGCCCTTCTGAGATGCAGAGCTCCCTCCCCACCCAGAAGGATCAGAATCTTTAGGAAACAATCACCCCAACCCCACATCTACTCTGTCGCTCGATCCTCCACCTGCCCCAGGACCAAGTTTTCTCCTTAGCTTCCCAAGTGCACACACTTCTTTGCTAGAGGCACTGCACTGAGAATCAGCAAGGAGAAAGAATCAAAAGAAACTTGAACCTCTGTCTCTTAAAGTGGTGGTCAGCTGTCTGTGCATATGCAAAAGTGCCTGTCCTGGACTCCATTAGAACCTGCAGAATTACAGCTCTGTGACACCCTGGGAAAGACGAAGCCTGGTGTTCAAAGAGTAACGCAAAATGTACCAAAAAGTCAGTTATGCCAGACAGAGAACCAGAATCAGGCACGATGGAAAAAAATCATCTTGAATAGACAGCAAAATCAAACTTACCAACAATCAAAAATAATACGAGACAGTGACACAGAGGTTGACAGTACAGAAACGGCATCCCAGATGTTAGGGGACCTGAAATTCATGGCTTTCTCTTCCAGTCACAATTGAGTGGCCAACTCAAGGAGTCTAAATACATAGATGTGGGTTTCAAAGTAAAATCAGCACCATAGACTTAGTGTAGTCATGCTAATTCAAACAAAAATTAGATCTTCTTAAAAAATTTTTGCAAAACAGATACTCCCTTCCCATGGTGGCTCTGGGTAGTGTGTTTTACAGGCTCAGAACAGGAAACAGAGCTGATGGCTGCTGCCTCTCTCCTTCCTGGGCCTGAGCCTCAACCAAAGCACACAGGGGAATAACACACTATGTAATGTTAGCTTTGGCTCACCCATGATGAGAAACATGAACGAATGTGTGATTTATATCAGAAATTGGCAAAAACAGGTTATATATATAAGAAACAGGCTACATTTAAAATTACAAACTAAAAAGAAAACAGCTGCAACAACAAACAAGCAATAACTTTAAAGTATTAGTATCTCTCCAAGATAAAGTAAGATACTCTTGCAAACAAAGTCAACAGCCACATAATGTAGCGTAAGATTGAATAAGAAAAAAAAATACCAAAATATTAGAACTCAAATGAAGCTTAAGTGTGTGTTTGTAGGGGAAGGAATCCATTCTCACATCTGGCAAAGCATTATTTCAGCACATGGTTTTCTAAAGAAAGAAATCAAAGTTAATTGAGATCGATTTAGGAAGGAAAAAACCCTTAGAAATGCTAGAGATATGGGAGGCACGCCTTCTTTCTTTGCATCTTAAAATTCTTCTCACAGTTAATATTGCACAGAAATGAGAAAGGGAATATAATTCAGAATATTGCAAGCAAACCCTCAGTAGCTTTTGCTCATTAGAAGGGAAAAACTTTGAAAATAAGGAAGCTTCAGGATAAACATTTCAAAAGGGGTGAAATACTGTCCACATTTTGAAAAGACACAGCAACCCAAACTATGCCCCCAAATGATTCTCACTCAACAAAGGCTGTGGAACACCTAGAATGAAGTACAGCTCAGGAAAAGGAAACAAATGAATAAAGAAAGCCTCTCTCACACCCACATTCGGGGAGTAAGAAGTAGCTGAGGGGAGTTTTCACAGACCCACTTCCACAAGAGAGGTCACAAACGTTAAGTGCTGTTCTTCGAAAGCAAACCAAGCCACAGCCCCGCCACATCTTTGTCCTCCCATTTGACTTGGCTGTTGGCAGGTTTCATCATCCCTTTGGTTAAAGCTTGAATGGACACAGGCTGCTGCATAGGACCCTCCCTGCCTGGCAGCCCTGTGACTTCAAAGGGGAGACAGGATCTAGCCCAGTAGGATTAAAACCAGAAAGAGTGCTGAACACAGGCTGTTAACCAGGACCACATGAGTTCTTTAACTCCAGCTCTAGGAGAGACTTCCTGGCCTTGACTGACATGTCCCTCCTTCCCTGCAGCCTGGCTCCTCCTCTTTATAGCTAGGAGATCTCACCTACCTACTTATCTGCCTGCCTACCTGCCGGCGGGGGTAGGCTGCTGCCTTAGTTAGCATGTATAGATTGTTATTGCAGAAACTGGCCAGACACAGCGCTTGGGATCTGCTTTGGTGGCTTTGTAACAGAGAATATTTTAAACATCAAAATCTGGCAGATATGTGGCATAATAATAATTTCATATGCCTACTTCTATGTTACCATAAAAAGACCTGAACTTTAGATTGGTGTTTGCCAATGTGTGGGGTGTTTTTTTTTCTGTAGCTCCAGGAAAGCTGGGATATTCCCATCAGGCAAATGGCAGGCTACCAAAGCCATTTTTAAAGAACTTATGAGAAACACATAACTCTACGCAAATTACCCCCAAACAAAAGGTACTGCTGTGTTAGTACTACAGTGTTTATTATTTCATTTCAATACAGAATATACCAATAACATATGAGGACCATTCCTTTGGATTTTGGTCATGGGATAAGTTCCAGAAATGAGGGGAGGTCCCACCAGGTTGCATTTCATATTATAACTCTAAAATATGCATTTATTTTCAAGTAACTAGAGTACAAAAAAGGATCCAAAATACTTAGATTAAAACACTAAAAAAGAAAGCTAACAAAGTTGAAAGCACACTGACATTTTCAGCAAAATATTTCAGGAATCCTGAGGCCTTTCTATAACAGATAAATATTTTGCAAGATGCATATTTCTCAACCAAAGTATTAGAAAATAAGGGCCCAAATTGATTCTAATTTGTGATCCCTATAGCTCATAAAAATATTACATTGTTAATACACAGAATCCATCATACTTAAACTCGTGAAAATCTGGAAGTGGTAAAGTGTTGAAACTGAGAAAATCTTAAAGAATGGTCAACTGAAGTTCATATCTGGAGTAAACAAAGGCATTCAGGGAAATGGTCCTTTCATGGTTTTCAAAAATTAGGAAGATGGCCAGAATTAGACCTCCAGAGAATTGGATTATCAAATCCATCTTCAATGTTTTCAAGTCTTATATGTGATAATTATTTTATAATTATGAAAAACAAATGCAACAACTAAGTGGAATAAGAATTTTATGATCATGATCATGCTTAAAAAAAAAAAATCTTGGGTGGGGCATGGTGGCTCACTGCTATAATCCAAGAACTTTGAGAGGCCAAGGTGGGTGGATCACGAGGTCAGGAGATCGAGACCATCCTGGCTAACATGGTGAAACCCTGTCTCTACTAAAAATACAAAAAAAAAAAAAAATTAGCTGGGCGTGGTGGCGGGTGCCTGTAGTCCCAGCTACTCGGGAGGGTGAGGCAGGAGAATTGCTTGAACTGTAGAAGTGGAGGCTGCAGTGAGCCGGGATCACACCACTGCACTCCAGGCAGGGTGACAGGGTGAGACTCCATCTCAAAAATAAATAAATAAATAAAATAAAAAATAAAACAATCTGAAAGAAGTCCTTGCTGCTATCACAATACAGTGTGGAGATCATTCATTTAGGAAGCCAATATCATCTTAAATCAATAGCCTGCTTTTTCTGTCAGTTTTAATCTCATTTCAATCCAATACAAAACCCTTCCTTAAATTTCTCTTGCATATAAACAAGCAGAATTTGGTACATCACTTAACTCCCTATACTGCCAT